GCGGGGGATCTGCAGAGGGGCCGGGGTCTGTGCCTCCTGTGAGACCCTGGAGCCAGGACATCACAGCTTAGGAGATGGGGCAGGACCCACAGGCAACGGTCTTGGGTTTGAATCCAGCTCTGCCCCTCTGCACCCGTATGACCTTGGGCAGAGGACCTTCCCTGTGTGGGCCTCCCGTGTGTCATCTGTAAAATGTAGGGACAGGACTCGATCATCTGAAAGGTCCTTCTCAGCTCTCCCTGGCTCCCAGCTCCATTCTGCCTCTGTTCTCCAGCCAGTCACCTCTCTATGCTCGTCTCCTTGTGGAAGACAATGATGCTTGTCCCACCTCCCTAGATGGTTTCCACTTGGTTGTTTGGCCCTGAGATGTTGCCTCCTTTTCACGGCCTCAGTTTCCCTCTTCTGGATAGGGGAGGCGTAGGCTGGAATGGCCTACTACCACCACGACAGCTAAAGACTTGAAGGCAGAAACGGCCTAGCCCCTCTTTGGGGGGAAGAGCTCCTGCTCCCACAAATGTGCACACTTGTTCTCCTTCTGCCCTCGTTCAATAACCAGAGCCTTATTAGACCCCTTCTGTATACTAGGCACTGTGCTCGGTGTTAGAAATCCCAAGCTAAGAAACGAAGCTGTCTTGGCCCCCAGAGAGCTTCTACTGGGACAGGGACTGGAATCCCAGAATGCAAAGTAGGGAGTGAGGAAGAACTCTGGGAAAATATGAGGCGGGAGAGAGGACCGACAACAGGACAAATCAGGGAAGGCTTCATGGGGGAGACAGCCCTGGAGGAAGGCAAAGATTCAGACAGCAAGAGGAGAAAGAAGCATATTATAGATCAGGTGGATGAGGATTGGTCGAAAATTCACATGAATGAGTGCGTGTGTGTGTCTGTGTGTGTGTGTGTGTGGCAGCCCCTCCCAGCCTCATCAGCCTGGCACGCTTGACGTTGGGGGGCTCCTCTTTCCTCTAAAAAGGGGAACCTCCATTTGGCTGAGAAAGAGCAGGTGGGGAACTCCCTGGGTACATTTTTCCTGTCTTTGGCTAGGGACGAAATGGCGATGCCCATTTTAGTGAATGAAGAAAACAGAATAACATAGAGAAACTGAGTGTGGCTTGTCAGATACTTCACCCAACTTAACAAGTACCCGCCGTGTGCCAGGCGCTGTGCCAGGTGCCGAGGATGCAGATACAAAAGTGAGACAATCCCGGCCTTCAAGAAGCTGAGTCTAGGACTTTTCCTTGCTACATTCCTGACATCATGAAATTTTAGGAAAGTCATTGCACGACTTTCCTCATCTGTATAATGGGAGAAAACGTGTTACCATCAAATAACATCCAATTAATCAGCCAGTAATTTGACTCCCTTCTTGGCATGATGCCAGCGTGTGCATAGGAGGCTCTTTAAAATGATTTGAACCTTAAAGGAAGACACAGGCATCAACAAGATGTCGTTCACAGAATGGCAGCCCTGTGCAGGCCGCCGTAGAGAACCTCCAGCCAATTTGTACTTTCCCTACACCCGCTCGTCCTGCCCCCCCCAAAGAATGCAAGTTTCTGGAGGGCAGGACCTGTCTGCTTAGAGTCTGCATGTAGTAGACATCCCGTAAAGGCTTGGTGAATAGAGTTCAGTTCAATTGAATTCCCGACACTGATGAAAAGTCCAGACACTAAACAAATTTTTAAAAAATCCTCCAAATTCCTAGCGCCTTGGCCAGTGTTATGCTCTGGCCCTGAATGTGTTTGTTGAATTGAATTGGGAAGAGTGGTTTTCTGAGAATCGTAGATCATCAGAACCACTGGGTACCTCAGCACTCATCTGGCTCAACCCGCTTTCAGAACTGGAAACCGAGTCTCAGGATGGGAAAGTGAAGTCACCTGGTGATGAAGCATTGGCCCTCTGCTTCCCCATCCCCCCCCCAAACCATCTTCAATGATTGTGAAGGAGGCCCCCTCCTTCATCTACGTCCAAGGACCACCCAAGGTCCATGGGATGGATGGAGCTCCTTCTGAAGGGCGCAGGGGAGGCGGCCAAGCTCTGCCCTGGCCCTCCCGGGACCCCTCAGTGCCTTCCTCATCACATTCTTCAGGCACCCAGCTTCCTGTCAGGGAGCTGAAGCTGTTACCAACCAGAAAGAGAAACAAACAGTCAGAGGCCCGAGTTTTCCCCCCTGAGTCACCCTTACACAGCTGAAGGAAAGAAGTCAGTGGTTTTCCGGTCGGAAGATATATATTTTTTCTTCTGTATTCTCTCCTCCAAGGATCTTCTGAGCATGGAAGCAATGAAAACCCTGTCTCTGGGTCACAGTAATAATAGTAATAACTAGCATTTATATAGCACCTGCTGTGTGCCAGGCACTGTGCTAAGCACTTCACAAATATCTCATGTGGTCCTTAGAACGACCCTGGAGGTAGGTGTTATTATTATCCCCATTTTACAGATGAGAAAGCTGAGGCAAACAAGATAAGTGACTTGCCCAGGGGCACCCATTAGTGTCTGAGGCTAAATTTGAACTCAGGCCTTCCTGACTCCAATCAGCTGCCTCAGTTATGGATAAGGGACCTTGCCCTTACCAGGGCCTGAGCTTCTGAACTGGAGAGCAGATAGGGAGGGGAGATGCTCCTTTTCTGAGCTTTGACAAATTCTAATTCCTACTGGAAGGCAGACTGAAATTCCAAAGAGCCTTAGGAAACATATCAGGGGATAGAACATAAATTTGGAGTTGGAAGGGACCTTGGACATGACCCCGCCCAAACCCCTCATTTTACATATGAGGAAACTGAGGCACGGAGAGGTTAACATGCACATACTAAGTATCTGGGGTAGGATCTGAACCCAGTTCATCCCAAGCCCAAGTCTGCCCTGGGCTAATTCGAGGTTTGACGCCTGCTGACTGCGATAGCAATGGAATGAGCGGGTCTGGAGGATGAGGAGGAGCTGAGCGTCTTCCTGGACAGGCAGGACCTTGAGAACGGGGAGAAGGCCTTTAGTCCATGTCCCAGGAGGGCCAGTGGAAACAAGGGGGGGAGATTTAGCCTGGGGGGTGGGGGTGAGGCAGGGAATGGGCCTTCAGGAGCTCTGCCAGCCTGAGGCTCCGGAGCCCGTGTGGTAAAGGGCTGTCCTCAGGCAGACTTCAGGAGCTCCGAGGCTGCGTGGTGAAGGGCTGTCCTCGGGCAGCAGGCTTCAGCTCCTTCTCCTCAGCGTCAGGGAGCAATGTGAGCTCTCCCCCCAGTGGAATCAGCTGCCTCGGGAGACTGCCAAGAGGCACCCGTTCAGGCGTGATTGGGCTCGATGGCCTCTGAGGGTCTGGGGGCCACCGCAGCTGCTTCTAACCCCCATCCTGCTGTCCCCTGGGAGAAATGAAACGGGTCCCTGTCTCTCCCTGGGCCTCAGTTTCCTCATTTGTAAAATGAGGGTAAACCTATTGGCACAGCCTCTCTCCCAGGCTTATTTATTTATTTCCTTGTCAAATGCTTTATTAAGGCCTGGCATTCCCATGACCTGCCAGCCAAGGAAGGCAGTAAACCAAGACAATGAAGTTATCCCAACACGACATCATTTCTTCTTCTGCTCCCAACTGAAATGATCTTTTAATATTCAGAACCACTTCTTCATTACCCCGACTTAATAGTATTTTTATTTTTTCCAGTTCCATGTATAGTTTTCAACATCCACTTTGATAAGATTTCAAGTTCCAATTTTTTTCTCCCTCCCTCCCCTCCCCCTCCCCAAGATGGCATGCAATCTGATGTAGGCTCTACATGTGAACATACTTCTACATTAGTCTTGTTGTGAAGGAAGAATTCGAACAAAGGAAAAAACCACGAGAAAGGAAAAAAAAAAGAAAATAGTCTGCTTCCATCTGCACTCAGACTCCTAAGTCCTTTCTCTGGATGTGGATAGCATTTTCCATCATGAGTCTTTTGGAATTGTCTTAGATTCTTGCATTGCTGAGAAGGGTTAAGTTTATCAATATTAGTCATCACACAGCATGGCTGTTACTATGTACAATGTTCTCCTGGTTCTGCTCACTTCACTCCGCATCAGACCATAAAAGTCGTTCCAGGTTTTTCTGAAGTTCATCATTTCTTATAGGACAATAGTATCCCTTTACATTCACATACCACTTATTTAGCCATTCCCCAATTGATGGGCATCCCCTCAATTTCCAACTCTTTGCCACCACAAGAAGAGCTGCTATAAATACTTTTGTACATGTGGGTCCTTTACCCTTTTTTATGATCTCTTTGGGATACAGACCTAGTAGTGCTATTGCTGGACCAAAGGGTGTGCACATTTTTATACCCCGTTAGGCATAGTTCCAAATTGCTCTCCAGAATGGCTGGGTCAGTTCACAGCTCCACTAACGATGCATTAGTGTTCCAATTTTCCCACATCTTCTCTAATATTTACCATTTTCCTTTTTTATCACATCAGCCAATCTGAGAGGTGTGAGGTGGTACCACGGAGTTGTTTTAATGTGCATTTCTCTAATCAGTAGTGATTTAGAGCATTTTTATATGACCATAAATAGCTTTAATTTCTTCATCTGAAAATTGCCTGTTCATATCCTTTGACCATTTATCAGTTGGGGAATGACTTGTATTCTTATAAATTTGACTCAGTTCTCTATATATTTGAGAAATGAGGCTTTATCAGAGACAGTCCCAGGCTTATTTAGAGGAAAAGGTTCTAAAATGTGGGCATATGAGCTGACAGAGGTGATACGGTGGGTGAGTAAAAAGAAACCTTTGAAGGGAAATCAGACACAGATCCAAACATCTCAGAGGTGACTGTGGAGGCCAGATGGAAAGAAGATTTTACTGGCCCATAACTTCCCATGAGCAAAGTGATGATACACCATGGGCTGCACTGATGGGGCATGTGGGGTGGGGGACAGACAGAGAGAAAGAAAGAGATAAAGACAGTAGGAGAGACAGAGAGAGACAAAGACATACAGAGATAGACAGAGACAGAGAGAAAGAGAGAGGAGAGAGACACAGAGACAGAGACAAAAACCTAGAGACTAAGAGAGACAAAGACAGAGACAGAGACAGAGAGAGTAGAGGGGGAGAGAGAGATCTTCCTTGGATTCTGCTCAATCCCACAATTGTTTACTGAAGATCTCCCTTGGGCCCGCCCTTGATGGCCCCTAGGAAGGAGACAGAAGAGCCAGACAAGGTCTGTGTCCTGAGGGAGCTCAGAATCTTTCCCAGGAAATAAGATTAGCATGTGATAAACATTTAGAAAATAGTTTAGGACAGCGTAGAATTACTCAGGTGGGGGGGGGCCTGGACGGCTGCAAAACCCCCCTGGAATGGGAGCAGGGAGGCCTGGCTTTGAAAGCCAGATCTGTCATTAACTTACTTCCTGACTATGGACAAGTTAATTTTTCCCTCTGTGGGCCTCAGTTTTTCCATCTGTAAAATGAGGACAATAGACTCAGTGATTTCTCACGTCCCTTTTAGGTCTACTATCCCATATTTTGTGTTTGAAGTTTCCTTCCAGCTCTGATGTCCTGTGTACTAAGGTTTTCCAGACCTAATTTCTATGTTCTAAGGCCATCTGGCTCTGACATTCTATTTCATCTCTGACATTCTACGTTCCAAGGCCCATCCATTCCTAACTTTTTATGTTCTAAGGGCCCTTCCAGTTCTGACATTCTGTGTTCCATCTTCTAAGATCTTTTCTGTCCTGGACATTCTATATGCTATTTCTGCACTCTGACATTCTGTGATCTGGCTAGTCAACCAAGCTAGGAAGACCCCACTATGGCCTCCTTGATGGGCTGTGTCCAAGGTACTGCAGGGTAAGTGCAGAGGGGTTCATCACCAGAGGGTTGGTCCCCAGGCCGGGGCTGGAGGGGCAACATGGCACTGGTCTTCAGGTCAGAGGACCTGGGTCAAACATTGGCTTCGTTACTACTCTGTGACTTTGGACAGGTCACTCAAACTCTGTAGGCCTCAGTTTCCCTATCTATAAATGGATGGGGTTGGGTTGGATGGTGTCTAAGGCACCTTCTTGCCCTTTGAATGAGCCTATGAAAAACATTTCAGCTGCAGCAACTCACGAAGAGCCGCTCTTGGCTTGGATCAATGAGCCAATCCAACCAGGTTGACCGTGACCATGCAGATGAAGCACGCCTCCATGCTAGACCACACCTCAGAGGTCAGCTGGTCCAACCTCCTCATCTTACATTTGAGGAAACTGAGGCCCAGAGACCTTAAGTGAGTCATCCAACATCAAGTAGGTAACAAGGAACACAGACAGGATTTGAATGTGGGTCCTTTGCCTCTCAAGTCAGTCTGGTGAAGCTTATGGACTCCTCAGAACAGTTTTTAAAATTTTTAAAATTGATAGTTTAAAAAGTGCTAAATGATATTTAAATGTTAGTGAAAACAAAGATGTCATTTTTCCATCCAAATTCATGGATCATCTGAAATCTATCAATGGATGCCTTTGAGGTCCTTGGACTCCAGGTGAAGAAGTCCTAATGTAGACCAGCCTCCTCATTTTTCAGAGAAGGAAACTGAGGCCAAGAGGAGTGATTTGTTCAGGTCACATAATAAGTTAGTGCCAAATCCAGGACCAGGACCGAGGCCAGAGCTCTGTCCACTGCAGCCAGGTTGAATGACCTTGAGAAAATGGAATCCAAGAAAGAACCTTAGAATCACCTAGTCCAACCCCTTTCTTTCTGAGAGAAAACAGAGGCGCAGAGTGGTTAAATCACTGCCATTCTTGGGGGTCTTAGCTACCCCTCCAACAACCCCACCCCATGTTGCTGAGAAGATGAAATGAAATAATAGGTAAGAAGGTGGAATTATTAGATTTTGGGAAGATGCAGCCCCTCAGATCCCCCTCTCTTGTGTCTAAAGACAAAGGAATCCATACTTCTTCCTCCAACCTCTCCTCTTCACCCCACCCCACCTTATACCCACACCTTCCTCAGTCACCTGGGAACTCCCAGCCCCTGGAACTATCAGGGAATGGGACTGTTTGGTGCATTGGCCACTAGAGGGCAGAATCCCCCTTTGATATTACTGATGGGTTACCCAGGCAGCAAATCTGGCCAGGGCTTTAGTCTTTGCTGTGAGAAGGGGGCAGCCTCATCCCCTTGGGACCATCCACATTTCCTGGATAGGGAAGACAAATCCCTGTGAATAAGAGAAGACATTTTCTAAGCTGACAGCCACCTGAGAACAAGTTGAGAAACCGGGGCGGGTGGGGGGGGGGGGATGCTGAGTCATGAAGACAAGGGCACGAGGACCCCAAGGTGCTCGGGGGGGTTTTGGATCCTGGGTCTCTGGCTCCAAAGCCAAAGCTCTTCCATTGTACCACACTGCCCAGCAGGGAGGGGAACTTTGAGAAGACATTTGGTGGATGGAAGGAGATGAGGAACTCCGCCCATTTTTTTTTCAATTTAACTAAAGGCTCCCTTTGAATTCACCAAAATTGGCCAGGACTAGTCATGCTAAATGAAGTTGTAGGACCCGAGTAGCAGCAGGGATGCTGTTACCATGTCTCCTTGGCCATCAAATCTCAAGAAAACATTTGATATTTCCAAGTAGACTGATACCACCATTCCCTCTCCCCTCACTGGACCCAGACCAGAAAGCCTGACTCAGCAGGAAACGGATACCCTCCCCACCCCCACCCCACAGGAACCTAAGGCCAAAGTTAGGGACTGACTGATCCCCGAGCCCTTGGACCTAGAAAGCAGAACAACAGTGAGGGGTGGGAACCACAGAGAGGCTGATTTGGGCTTCCTGAATGCTGGAGCGGTGGGCCACCTCAAGAGGCTATAATAACTGATATCTATGTGACTCTGGGAGGCTGGCAAAGGGCTTTAATAACCTGATCTCATCTGAGCTTCACAATGACCTTGGGGTAGATGACAGAACTCAAGATCAGAAGGTGAATGACTTGTCCAGGGCCACGCAGCTAATAATTAGCACCAGAGGCAGGTGAGCACCTGATAAGGCGAGTCCCCTCTCCCTGAAGGTCTTCAAGCAAAGGTAGCGTGACCTGTGGTCAGGGACAGTGAAGTTTTTGTTCCAAATGGGTTGGACTTCATGGCTGCCAAGGTTATCTCTACCTCTGAGTCATTCTGCGATGATGCAGGGAGTCCAGTTGGGAGTCAACTGCTGGAGTCCAGGAGGGACAAGGGGGGCGTGAGTGAGGGTGAAGGCCACCGGGGCGCAGAGGAGAGGGCTCTTCTGGTGAGGTGATTCCACCTCTCATTAGGCTGTGGTGAGGCTGTCCTGCTCATGGTGGGGGGTACAGCAGGGAGTCTTAACTTTTTTTGTGCTATGGGCCCCCATGGCAGTCTGGACTTCTCAGAATGTTTTTAAATTCATAAAATAAACAGGATTACACAGGAAACCATTTATATTGTTGAATCATAGTTATCAAAATATCAAGAAGACAAGATTGCAGACCCAGGTTAAGAACTTCTGAGAGGTCTTGGAGGACCTGTGACCTCTGACAGTGCCAAGTCCCTCCTCTCTCCTTGCCTCAGTTTCTGAGTGTCCCCTCCTCCCAGGTGACAGTCTCTGAAGCTGGGGCCCTCTCTGTCCCTCCTGCCACCATGGAGGGCATCCCTCTGCCTCTCACCTGAGGGAATGCTTCCTGCCGCTCACTGGCATAAAGTTTCCATTATTGCTCTGCCTTGTCCATACCCAGGGAGTGGGCGAATTCTGAGGCTGCCCTGTGCCTCCCTGGCTGCAAGGGCTCCTAGCTGCAGCCCTGAGGTCGGTCTGTGGTGGAATGCCCAGAATTCCCTCTTTGCTCATCCTGCCCTCATGTCCTGCATTACTTGGTCCTCTGTCTCCAATTCATCCCCATCACTGGGCTTGGGGCATGCCTGTGGCTCTGTGTGAGTGGATGTGTCTGGCTCTCTGAGTGTGAATGTGTGTACATGGTGTTGGGGTGTGGGGGGGTTGGAGATGCTGAAGGCATTTTTGTTTTTAAAAAAAATGCACTGGACTAGATGGCCTCCATGGTCCTTTCCAATGGCCAGTGCGTGGCTGGGCCAGGATTTGAACCCAGGATCTCTCCCTCCAAAGGGAGCCTTCTTTCCCTTACATAGTACTTGCTCTCCCTCAGGGCCGCAGGCATGAGCTCCCAGGGGTTTTCTCTGCCTGGGGTTTTCCTCCCACCCTTTCCGGGAGATCCACAGTTACAGAGGGAGACCTTTGTGTGAGCTGAAAGCTCTTGGGAGGAGGCATGTATAAAAGCCCGGGCTTCAGTCTGCAAGGGGCTGACAGCAGTGGGTGTGATACCCCAGAAGGTAACTGGCATTCTTTTCCCCATGGCCTGAGGGGGGAGCCCAGGTAGGGAGGAGGTGAGCACAGTGAAGGAAAAACTACATCAGTGATGGTGCTACTGGACACACACGTTTCCAGAGAGCCCAGATTCATTGCCAGAGATGCATTAGTACGCGCTCTTTTCACAGTCCAGACACATATACATCCAGACACACTAATGTGCACAAATACAGACTCACATTACACTCAGGTATGCACTCAGAGGCACACATGTGTGCGCATGCCATACCCATGTGCAGAACACAGAGAGACATATCTACAGAGGTACACATGTATAGACATGTAGTATACATGGACATGTGGCCACAAAGGGGTACATATGGGCTGTGTGTGTACACGTGTTTGGAGACCCCAACATACATGCACACGCATGTGGGTGCTTGCTTATAGACATGCTTCTGCATGCGTGTTAAAGGTCATGCTGTAACACATGTGCTTGTGCTTGGGGACCTACACTCATGGGCGGACACATTCACTCACCCACCCATTTATAACACACAAACACGCATTGCTCCGAGAGCCCCCAGGTCCCGGCTCAAAGGGGCTGGCTGGCCGCTGGGCAGTGCCCACTTCCCGCCCGGGGTCTGCCCTGGGGCACTGCTCTGCCCCTCCTCTTCCCCCTCCATTTGCCACGTTGGTTAAATCAGAGCGGGCTCTTCTCGAAGGCGAGATGGAGCAGGCTCCTGAGCTGGCATGAGGGGAGCTCCCATCCCAGGGAGGAGGCCCCAGGGACCCCACTCCTCACTTTCTTCCCTTTGATCCACTGTGTATCCTCGGTGCCTGCTCGGTACCTCGCCTTGGCAGGATGCCGTCGCAGGGCTGGAGAACAGAAGCCGCCGCCGATTTTCGGAATCCACTTTAGGACATTGGTTTTATTCCTGGAAAGGATGGTGATGAGGCACAGATGGTGGTGTCGTTTCCAAAGGCCATCCTAAAGGGGAGGGAGTGGAGGTTAGAGAGAGGGGCCCAGGCCTAGCCTCGATGTCCTTGTGCATAGGGGCACTGCCTTCCTCACAGGCCCAGTGAGCTTGCAAGCCTCAAAGCACCACAGAAATGGGAGTTATTACTATTAGGTCTTTTCTACCTCTGCTGCGCGACCTTGGAGAAGGCCCTAAGCCCGCTTCCTGCCCTGTGAAAGGGAGACGATGGCTTGTGCCACCTACGCCACAGGGTTCCTAGGATCTCAAGAGCATGGGGAGAGGGAGACTGACGGGATTCTCAGCACCTCAATCCAGGCAAGAGAGAGTTCTAACACTGCCCTTGTCTGTGTGACTAAGCCAACGCGATCTACACTCATTCAGTGCCGACTGCATGCAAGGGCTGTAGTCAGCAGTGGGGATACAAAGGGAGCTACCTCACAGCCCCTCCTCTCCAGGACCTCGCCGTCTGACTGGGGTGGTAACAAGGGGGAGGGTGACAGGCACAAAGCAGGCGCCGCGGCAAAGTCTTAGGAAAAAGGAAGGCAAACATCGTTTTCATCTGAAAGAGCAGCAGCCGTGGGCATTCTTCCAATTGCAGACCCTGAGATGAAGTCCCCAACGCCTCCAGGGGCAGGGAGCTCCCCGCCCTCCTGATTTCCATGTTTGTGATTCTACTTTGAAAAGCTTTGGTCGTCAGCCAGTTTTTCTGCCCCCGCCCCTGTAACTTTCATCCTCTGCTCCCCCTCCCCCCTCGGGGGTCACCCTGGACAAGTTTAGATCCTTTTACACGTCGCTGTTCTGCCATTTTAGTCACGCCTGACTCTTCGTGACCCCATTTGGGGTTTTCTTGACAAAGATACTGGAGGGCTTTGTCATTTTCTTCTCCAGCTCATTTTACAGATGAGGAAACTGAGGCAAACAGGGTTAAGTGACTTGCCCAGGGCCACACAGCTAGTGTCTGATGTTGGATTTGAACCCAGTACTCTATGCATTATGGTGCCACCCAGAAGGCCCACATCTTGTCCCCTCCTTCCTCACTCCTCCTCTTCAAGTCTCTCTGCACTAAACATCCCCAAATCAGCCAACTAACCCCCCTAAACCAAGCTATTTGGTCCCTGTTTCCTCCTGGCACCCTGGATGTACCCCTGCTTGACAATGTCATTCTTAAAACGGGATGGATGCCGAGGACTGAACTCGGCGCTCCAGGAATGGTGTGACTGGAGCAGAGGAAACAGACCGTCCCCTCCCTCATCTCAGACACTCTGCCTCTCCCCACACAGCCCTGGGCTGCTGCACCATGCTGAGCTTGGGGTCCCCTAGGACCCTCAGCAAGCAGGCCTGAGAGATTGGATTGTTTGGAAACCAGCACGGCAGCTGTGTCTCCAGCACTTTCTCCCCAGTGACCTGCTGGTGTTTTCCTTTGCAGCACGCTGAAGGCCTCCTTTGAAATCCTGAAACAACGTAAGTCTCTCTGCTGCTGCTCCCTTCATCTAGTTAATTTCACGGTTCCCCGGACAGACAAAAGCACTTTGATGGAAATCAGGAAGCGGGACCCAAATCTATTCGTGGGCCACCCATCCAAAGTTTGGCTTTTGGCAAAGATGCCAAGGGCTCCTCAGCCTGGGGCCCTCCTCAGGCACGCCCCTTCTGGAGACCCTGCCCTCTGGCAGCTCACTGTTTCTTTCCCTCTATAGCCTGGGGTTACAGAGGGAGGGTGGGGAGCTAGGAAGCATCATGATGCAACAGAAAAGATACGGGGCTCCCAAATTAGGGGACCTAAATTCAAATGCAGACTCAGCTACTTAGCTACTCAGCGCCTGCGTGACCTTGGTCAGCAGTAAAAATGAAGAGGTCACACTAGATCATAGAATTTAGAGCCGGGATGGACCAGGCCTCTTATTTTACAGATGAGAAAACTGAGGCCCAGAGAGGTTTAATTGGCAGAAATGGAAATCAGATGGGGGGGGGTTTGACTCAAAATCCACTGCTCTAAGACACAAGGCTGTCTTATTTCCTCTTTTAGGGCCTCAGTTTCCCCATCTGTAAAATGGAGGAGGCTGGCTTAGAGGGTGTCCAAGGGTCTTTCTAGCCTTGGCATTCTGTGATTCTTTAAGGAAACAGTAACAGAGACTGTCTTCTGGGCCCAGACTGAGGGGCCTCAGAGAAAGGGAAACAGGGAGGGGTTGCTGAGCCCAGCTACAGGCGTCCAAGGCCCTCTGTGATCCTCTTAAGCCTGTGCTCTGCCCTAGAAATTGAGAACGTGGGGAACTCTCACATCCAGCTGGCCGTCATGCTGAAGGATGAGCTCAAGAGCATTGAAGAGTTCCGAGAAAGGCAGAAGGAGCAGAGGAAAAAGGTGAGGCCGCTGCGTCAGCCCGCTGGAGCGGGCACCCCTGCCCTGCCCAGCCCCAGCTCTGGGGTGACTGGGCACCATGAAGAGAGGGGCTGGGCACAGAAGGGGAGGGAGACTAGGATGAAGACTGCATCTCACCTGCAGGGACAGCTGTCCAAGAATACATGCAATCATTATCGTTAATAACAATAATAATAATAGGACGATTATTGTTATGAGACAGTGCCCTGACCCCTCAACAGACCATCCTGCCTGATTAACTTCTCAGTTCATTAGATATACAGAAGCTGTTTGAGACTCGGCTCCACTGTCTGCCTGGGTTCTAAGCATTTATCCAATGCCTTCTGTGTACAGGAACTGTCAGCCAGCCTGCAATGCCACAAGCAATTACTAAGCACCTACTATGTGCTGGGCAAGGAAGTGCTAAACTCAAAGAAAGGCAAAAACATGGAGTCTGGCTTCAAGCAATTTCTATTTGATTGTGGGGGAAACAACATAAGTAAATGATGGTGTATAGAGTGTCGCAGACCATGGGTGTGCCTCAGAAGCCCAGGGATGGGGGGCAGCTAGGTGGCGCCGTAGATAGAGCACCAGCCCTGGAGTCAGGAGGACCTGAGTTCAAATTTGGCCTTAGAGACTTGACACTTACTAGCTGTGTGACCCTGGGCAAGTCACTTAACCCCATTGCTTAGTTTAAAAAAAAAAAAAAGAAGCAGCAGCCCAGGGATGAAATGCATTGGGCAAATAACCACAGCAGCTTCAGGCGGCTGACTGTGAGACTCGCGGCCTGAGCTCGGTAGATTGCTTATTGATGCTCTGATTTCACGGGTGCAGGCCAAAGGTCCGGCTCACACCCCCACGCACACCTGAGCTCAGAGAACCTTCTGGAGTCCAAAGCCAACGTGGTGATGAGTGGCTCTGGACAGGTCCAGGATGGTCCTTGGGTGACCAATGTGTGACCGACTGTCTGTTACCAGGCCTCCACTCGAACCCTTCCCTGTTCCACTGCCCAGTCCTTCAAGAGTCCCAGCTGACTGGGTCACCACCATGAGGCCCCAGGAGAAAGCCCGTGGAGGAGAATTAATAATGGCCGGCATGCCTATGGTAGCTTATGTCTACAGAGCACTTCAAAATAAATGAGCGCATTTGAAAGGAGATGGTGGGGCTCTGGCATGGGTTCAAATCCTGCCTCAGCTACTTTCTATCCCTGTGACCTTGGGCCACAGATCTATTCCTCTATAGGCCTCAGTTCCCCCTTTGTGTAAAATGAGTGGGTGGGATGGTGTGGACCCTGAGGGCCCATCCTGCTCTGAAGCTAAGATTGAATGACCCGGCATGGCAATTCCAATAAGGCAGCTGGTACAAATATTATTTGCACCCCCATTTTGCAGATGCTGAGACTGAGACTCAGAGAGGGCCACAGGGCTGTGGTCTGTCTGTGAGGGGCTCATATAAAATTTTTTTCATTTGTTTTTGGCAATGGGGTTAAGTGACTTGCCCAGGGTCACACAGCTAGTAAGTGTTATGTGTCTGAGGCCAGATTTGAACTCAGGTCCTCCTGAATCCAGGGCCGGTGCTCTATCCACTGCACCACCCAGCTGCCTCTCATATAAGATTTTAAGGAAGAATCACCCATTGGCTAGATTAGCACCAGCCCCACCTAGTCCTCAGAAAAAAACTTTCCTGTTACCAGTTGCTGAGACTGGCTTCCTGACCAGAGAGGTGGGGTCAGAGTGCACATATCTGGAGTTAAGATCCCAGCCTTCTAACAGTCAAAAAATCCCTGACTTTGGGCATGCCCCGGGATGGTGCTGACTATGGAAAGTGAAGGCAGGGCTGCAAAGGGATGGTTAATGCAGCCTAATACTTCTGACCCAGATAGGAGAGGATAAAAATCATCCAGGAGAAAAATTGGTTATAAAATGTCTAGAATATTGAAGCAGGCACACACACACACACACACACACACACACACACACACACACACACACACACACACTGGTGTCCAATTATTTACCTGGGCACAAGAGGGAGTGTGGTACAATGGCTAGAACGCTTGATTTGGAGTCAGAAGCACTGGGTTCAAATCTTGTATCTGCTTCTGATTTATCACTTGGGTGACCGAAGTCTGAAGCAGCTTCATCTGTAAGTTGAGGCAGGAAGGCAGGGCAAGGCACTTAACTTCCTGAGCCCTGGTTTTCTCATCTGTAAGTTGGGTACATGAATACCTCCAGTCTGGCCCTTCTTCACGTTTTGTTGGGATACTGTGGAGCCACGTCAGCTGGGGCCCCACGGCAGCAGGGAAGGCAGACCTGGTCCCCACAGAATGGCATGAGCAGGCTGGGTGCCCCCCCCCCGAAGCTAGCCTGAGCTCCCTGGTCAGGCCCCAGGAGACCCTCAGCCAGCCAGCCACCGATGGAGGGAGTCCACGGCTTTGGGGTCTGCGGGGTTTTCTCAAGAATGTATTTATTTTAGATTTCTGTGCTTGGAGGGAAAAAGAAGGGGTCTGAGTGAAGCCCAGAGGCAGCCACCACAGATACCACACAAACCCTGTCCCTCCCAGGTGAGGGTCAGTGGGAGGGCAGTGCAGGACTGACCAGCAGCCAGGGCTCCCACCCAGGATTTCCCAGCAGTGACTGGACTGTTCAGCTCACTGCAACTGAGGCCGGCCTTTGGGCTCGGTTTTAAGAACTGTGGGCAAGCCCTGCTGCAGAAATATCGATGGGGCCTCAGCAGGAGCAGCGGCTTCTGGGAGACAGCACAATGAGACCAAGAAGGAATGAGGGTCAAATGGACCTTAGACCGTCAGAGCTAGGAGGGATGGTAGAACATAGAACCCAGACCATCAGAGCTGAGGAGGGCCTTAGAACATAGAACCCAGATGGTCAGAGCTAGAAAAGACCTTATTACCTAGAACCCAGACTGACCGCTAGAAAAGACCTTAGAACCTAGAACCCAGACTGTCAGAGCTGAGGAGGGCCTTAGACCCTAGAAGCCAGACTATAACAGCTAGGAGGGACCTTAGAACATAGAAGCCAGACTGTCAGAGCTGGGAAGGGCCTTAGAATCTAGAACTCAGACTGTCAGAGCTGGGAAGGCCTTTAGAATCTAGAACTCAGACCATCAGGGCTGGGAAAGGCCTTAGAACATGGCACAAAGGATTGTAACCAATGAGCCTGCATCAAGCACCTACTGCGTGCCAGGCACTGTGCTAGGCACCCTGAGGACAAAAAATGAAACAGCCCTCAGTGCTAGCCACGCAGGGTGGGGCAGAACCAGATCCCTTTGGGTTCCATCTCTAAGCCGTACGTCCTCGGACCCTGGTGCTGCTCGGGCCCCTCCAGGGCTGGGAGCCATTGCTCACACATTGCCTGTGTTTCTTTCAGTACGAGATAGCCATGGACCGAGTTCAAAAGAGCAAGCTGTCCCTCTACAAGAAGACGATGGAGGTGAGTCTCTTGGGTCACCAGGACACAGTGGCAGCTGACGGAGGAGCTCTGGGGTTGACCCTGGGAGCTGGCAGGGGCCAAGCAGAAGAGAGGGAGCGGTCGGGTCTGCGGAAGACATCGGGAGGGGGCAATTCTGAGGGTGGGTGGGCCCCCCTCCGTGAACAATGGGTGGACTCCTGGGTTACTGCACCCACAGGGTGAGATCTGACGAGTGAATCAGCAGCAGTGATGGGTTCAGGCTGGGGTGGGGTCCCAAGTAATTAATACACACTCAGCACCAGACCCATCTCCTTGCCTGGCCCAGATATCCAGCTGGGATCTGACAACAGACCCTGACAAAATATTTAATGTCCTTCAGGACTAGGGAAAAAGAGCCTGAACTAAGAAAAGGGGGTAGAGCTTCCTAAGGAAAGGTCAAGGCCCTTCCCATTCCCCCCCCCCACCCTCTCTGTAGCCCCTTGCAGAGTGTCAGTGGGGAGGGCTAGAGACCTGAAATGATGGGAAGCCTGGGTGAAGGATGGCCTTCTGCTGGAGGACCTGGGGAAGAGCATCCCGGCCACACCAAGATGGTGCTGAGAAGCTTGCCTCTGGAAGCCTCCCCTCCTCGCTCTCTATTCTTACTTCGCTACCCCAGGGCCCTTGGGCTGCTTTGGGCCCCTCTTGCTGCTGGGGAGGAAAGACTCTTATAGACTCCTTTCTGTTGGATGCGGGAGGGACCAAGTTGGCCACTGTAATGGAAGAGCCTGGAAAGAACTCTGAACCCAAGGGGACAAATGGGGGAATTTCAGGCACCATGGGAGACATTCTGGCACTGGGGAGTCTTCCTAGGAGGAGGGCACACTCTGCCCAGGTCTCTCTGGGAAGAAGTCTAAAGTAGACTTTGATCATGGGCTGCTCCATGTCATGGAACCTCCAGGAGGACTCCTCCTCCACTCCCAGAAACACTCGCATATGGGCTCATCTCCATCCTTTGACTCTTCCTGTGATCCTTCCCCATCACCCCACCCCCACTCCCACCCACCCGTGGCTCATCCCTTAGGAGGAGGGGCCCATGGAGAGGAAGGGGGGAAGAGCCTCCTCTCAGAACCTCTTTCATCTTCCCTCCACAGTCCAAGAAGACCTATGACCAGAAGTGCAAGGACGCAGATGAGGCGGAGCAGGCCTTTGAGCGCATCAGCTCTCAGGGCAACCAGAAACAGATGGAAAAGGTACGCGGCGCCTGCCCAAACCAACCAGGTGTGAGAGATGGGGCGGGGAGAGGCTCAGGCCTCCTGGGAGGACATGGCCATCTGCTCCATGCAGGGAGGGGAGAGGCAAGTGAGCTGCAGGCGCCACAGGGGTTCTCTCTTTTGTCCCCCTTCTCCCATGATTTCCATCACCAGGCCGCTTCACGCTCTCTCTGTCAGGTTTCAGGAAAGGAAGAAATGATTTTATTTCCTGCCTAGGCCGGGAAAGCGGGGGGCATTTGGTGCTCTAGGGATGCAGGCAGGGAATGGAAACAGGATAGCCCTAGTGGGTCTGGGCTGGGGCTTGTTAGAGGGGATGCGAAGGCCTTCCTGCAGAGATATCCAGAATGGGAGGGGTGGCTCTGTGAGGTTTGGGGGGGACCTGCGGGTCAGGGTGAACTTCTCTGATTCTGAGGTGACGGAAAGAAGGAACAGTGGCAGTAGGGGAGAGTGGGGAGAGTACTGAAGCCAGAAAGACCTGGGTTCAAATCCTGGCTCAGTCACTTCATAGTTCTGACCCTGGGCATCTCTAACAGGAGACAGCTGGTCTGGCGGCCTCCAAGCTCTCTTCCACTTCTAGATCCAAGACACTGAGATTTTATGGAGCTCTCCCATTTAACTTGGTGTTCACAAATACATAATTAATAATTAGTAAATAATAATAATAACTATAAATAATAAAGCATTTTAAATATGCACAGGAGCAAATGAGAAGAGAGGACACAAACAGGACAGTTTCATCCTGCCTGGCTAAGTCTAACCAACACTTTAAAAACTAAACTGTGCATAGCAGAGGTTCAGCTTCATACACAATCCCCTGCCTCTCCTTTCTGCTTCCTGTTTCTTCATATACTGCAAGGTTTGTGTTGGTTAGTAATTCTTAAGTACGTCATGTTTTTTTAAATGTAAAAAGATCCCTGTTTCAGGAGAGCCCATTAGCTCCTGGGGCAGCCCGCCTGCTTGTGGAGAGCCCTAATTGTCTGTTTTTCCTTAACACTGAGCCCAAATCAGCCTCTTTTGTGACTTCCACCACCCATCCTCCTGGCTCTGCCGTCTGGTCGCCGCTCTCATTCTTATGGCACGCTCAAAGGCTTGTTTATCCATGACTCTGGTAATGCAAGAATTATTGTCCCCATTTTACAGAGGAGAAAACTGAGGCTCAGAGGGGAGGTGACCTGACCAAGGTCACAGAGATAGTAAATGCTGATGTGGGGATGTGAACCCACATCTTCCAAGTCCAAGCCCGGCCCAGTTTCTCCTACAGCTCACTGCCTCTCAGACGTGTTGGCCCCAAAGGGCAGGTTGTGGAACCTGCGGAGAGACAGGTTTTGGTTCTATGTACAGGGAAAACTTGCTTGCAGTTATGAGATCACAGACTTAGAACTGGAAGGGACCTTGGAGACCTGTGGTGCCATTTTACAGATGAGGAAAATGAGACTGAGAGAGGTTCCGGGTCACACAGTTGGTATGTGTCTGAAGTGGGATTTGAACTCAAGTCTTCCTAATTCTTAGCCCAGTGCTCTATCCACTGGGCCATCCATCCCAAAGTAAAATGGCCTTATTCCACAGATGGTGAGTTCCCCATCACTGAAGGTATTCAAGCAGAATCTAGATGACCATTTATTGGGGTCATATTGGGGATATGACCCCAACTGGGGGTCACTACTGGGGATGCTGTCGAGAAAAGTCCTACTCTACACGCAGATTGGGCCAGACATCCTGGCGGGTCCCTTCCAACTCAGAGAGTCTCCGACTTTCATTTTATTACATGGAGAGACTGCATGAAATCATGGAAATACTGGTCTATTCAGAGGAGATGGTGGAGTCCAGTCCATTATTGGACTTAGACTCAGGAGGCCTGTGTTCAAGTCCCCGTCTGTTGCCTTCTAGCTGTATAAGCCTGGGAAAATCACATTAGCCCTCGGAATCTCAGCCTCCCGATTCTATAAAATGGAGGCAATGATGGTCACACCACCTACTTCACAGAGCTATTGTAAGGACAGAATTCACAGAATTCAGTTCAAGCAGTTCTAGGACCAGATGCCATGATCCCCATGGTATGTATTCCACACAATTTTTAAGACACAGGACCCACCCTCAGGGAGATCTTATCGACCTGAAGAGGAGAGAAGATAATATATGCTTCAGGGCTAAAGTGCACAAATCACAGACCCTTCATGCCCTGGGAGTCACATCAGTGGGGCTGGTGTGGCCTGGAAAGCCTTCAAGAAGGAGGTGGGACTTGAGTTGGGCCTTGCAGGGTGGCTGGAAATGAGGGTGGGGCACCGCAGTCAATCCCTGAAAGAAGAATGGCCCAAAGAGAGATGCAGAAGAGCAGTAAATACTATGGGGCCATGAATGAGCCTGCTGTGCACTGGGGACCACAAGAAAGGCTTCCATGAAAAAGGGGCTGGGGCCCAGACGTGTAAGATGCCATGTTTTTCTTCTTTGTGTTCTAGAGTCAGAACAAAGCAAAGCAATGTAAGGATGCGGCCAATGAAGCAGGTACAGCCCCCCCCTTCCCACTCAGCAGACCCCTGCCCTTCCCTTCTGAGGCCCCCAAAGCACCCCTATCCCACGCCCCTTGGGAGACTCCTCAGGCCACACAGGTCTGCCTTGAAAAGGGTAATGGAGGTCAGGGCACCGGAGCTCCTGTTCTGCGTTTGTCATTAGGGAAGGGAATAAGCTTTTATTCAGCACCTACTGTGTGCCAGGCACTGTGCTATGTGCTTTTCATAAATGTTACCTCATTTGATCCTCACAACAACCCTAGGAGGTAGGTGCCACTGTTATCCCCATTTTACAGACAAGGAAACTGAGGCGGGCAGAGATGAAGCGCCCGCCTTGCCAGGGCTGGATCTGAACTCAGGTCTTCCTGACTCCAGGCCCAGCACTCTCTCCACTGCACCACCATCTGCTTGACCTTGTGGCTGGTCACTGTGCCCAGGCTCACGCCTCTGCCCTTGAATCCTCTGCCCGCTTGCGATTCTGCTATGCCAGTCCTGGCTTCTTAGATCTTCACCCACATCCCTGCTTACAGGATTGCGCCTTACAACAGAGATGTCAGCCTCAGGCAAAACTCCCAACCAGATTAAAACGTCCTTGGGAAATGTGTTAACAAAATAAATAAAGCGCTGCTCCTGCACACAGATAACACATAACATCACAGAATATGTATTCTATCATCATATAATGCATAGACACTACACGAATATAATAACATAGATGACGTTAATTTGTGGTTTTCTAACTCAATGTGCAGCCCGCAGGGATCATTTCTATTGAGTCTGACTTATCTGTGCCCATGATTTATCCCTCCTTTTAGACGAAGCATCTTGAGGACAAGGGCTGCTGTTTTCTATCTTCATATCCTCAGTGCCTCAAACAATGCCTTGTACACAGTAGTCACTTAATAAATGCTCATCGAATTGAATGTTATTAAAATCAAAGACAATGAGTGATGAAATGCCCCTGTAACTGCAGTAGGTACTGCAAGAATTTGAGAGGAAGAGATCTTTGAGGGCTGGGCTAATCAGGGCAGGCTTCCTAGAGGAGGTGGGCACTTGAGCTGGGCCTCAAAGAGTGGATTTTATTTGGACAAATGAGGGTGGAGGGAGGGTGTTCCAGGCAGAGACATTCTCTGGTTGGACTGTTTTTCATCTTTGTCTGGCACAGTGTTGGGCAGTTCAGGGTTGGGAGTCATACTTCCTGGGTTCAAATCCTGGCTCTGCCACTTGCGACCTATGTGACCTTAGGCAAGTCACTTAGCCTTCTTAGGCCTCAGTTTCCTCATCTGTAAAAAGAGGAGGCTGAACTACATGGTTTCTAAGACCCCTACCAACTCTAAATCTATGATGCTAAGGTCCTATGGGCTGGTTTCCCAGGAACAGAGAGCACATGTTGGGGCCTGCCTGGCACTGCAAGCGAGGGATGGACCACAACAGGGTTCCTCTGGCCACTGACTGATTAGGTCCAGCCCCTGGTCAAGGAGATGACGACAGTTGGCTCTCGCCAAGGGGGCCACTAGTGGGCTGGTATGTTTGCTCTTACCTGCAAGGCTATCTTGACTTTCAAACTAAACCCAGCAACTTTGCAGACGTACTTGCCTTTCAGAGCGGATGTACAAACAAAATGTTAACCAGCTGGAGAAAGCCCGGTGTGACTGGGAGCAGGAACACCAGCAGACCTGTGAGGTGAGTGGTACCCTAACTAGAGCTAGCCTGCAATGGAATGAATGGGGGGTGAGGCCGTCATCACTGGCAATGACCACCAACCAGCCATCCTGTGTCAGAGATGTCAGAGAAGTGATGCCTTGGGTGAGATGTCAGACCAGATCCCCTCAAAGCTCCTGAGCATCCCTGATTACTCTGGTTGCTATCATCATCATCCTATAGAAGGGGGGATAAGCCATGGGCACAGATAAGTCAAACTCATTAGAAATGATCCCTGCAGGCTGCACATTGAGTTAGAAAACTACAAATTAACATTATCTAGGTTATTATATTCATGAAGTATCTATATATTACATTGTGTAATTATAGAATACATAGTATGTGATAATATATGTTATCTATGTGCAGTAGTAAAACCAACAGGCTTCTTGGCAGAGGTGGAGGCCTATGGGTGTGAATTACTACATAGTTGATACATTCGTTTTGCTGAACTATTTTTTCCTCTTTTTTAAAAATTCTTTATTGTAGAGGATGGCTCTGTGTGTGTGTGTGTGTGTGTGTGTGTGTGTGTGTGTAAAGAGAGTGAGAAAGACAGAGATTGGGAAATGAAAGTGATATAAAAAAAAGATTTCATCATTTTTTTTTAACAACCAAGAGAGGAGATTTTAATTCAGTATTGGGAAAAATGATCAGAGTTGTCCAGCAAGGGAATGGGCTGCCTCTGAAGGCAGCGAGTGCCCCGTGGCTGGAAGCATTCAAGCAGAAGCTGGATCTTCTATCAGGGTGGCACAGAGGCCACCCTGCTCATAAAATGGTTGAACCATGTGACTTAAAACCCTCTTCTAAGAGTCTTTGACTCTATAAAGGTTTCCTGGAGGAGGCAAGAAAAGTCTTAGCTAAGAGATGGTGAATGAGCTAGAAAAGAAACCCCTCCTGGATTCACCAAACTGAACAGGGCTAGAGATATAACAGAGAGACAATAGTGACCCGTCTGGAGAGCTCTAAAGACAAAATGCCCCACGGAATAGTGGCAGGTCCCACGGCTCCTTCTACCTGAGCTCCAGCGAAAAAGACAAAAGAGATGACAATAGCAACGGTAATAACAAAGCAATTAGCAACTAACGATAGGAGTAACTAACATTTATGTAATACTCGGACTATGCAAAGCACTTTGTAAATGCTACATCCCTGGATCCTCTCGGGAACCCGAGGAGATAGGTGCTATTATGATCTCCACTCTACAGATGAGACAGCTGAGGCAGACAAAGACAACTAGTAAGTGTCCAAGGCAGCATTTGTTCTCACGTCCTGTACTTTATCAACATTAAATGTAAAATAATCATAGAATGATGGCAACTTGTTCTAGAACCATTTCTATCTAAATTTCATCAGACAAGAACACTTTTTCTATAATAATAGTACTTAAGATGGCTCATATTTCTAAAACACTTTGAAGTTTACAAAGTGATTTCCTCACCACAGCTCTGTGAAGTAAGTAGTACACATATTATTATTCCGATTTTACAAAGGAGAAAACTGAGGCTTAGAGAGAAGTGACTTGAATAAGATCACACAGCTTGTAAATGGCACATTCTGATTCCAAAACCAGTCCGGTGTTCTAGTGGATCATGTTACCTAAAGGATAGGCTGATAAGGCATGAATATGAAAAAATATATATATCTGTCAGCCAGGGGGGCCTGGCCCCGATGAAACAGAGCTAGGTGGTATTACAGAATAACAGATCATTCCTCAGCCCCACTTCAGGAAATCTCTTTCTGAGTTTAGGCCTTTCAGCTCCAGGAGTTTGACCGACTCACCATTCTCCGGAACTCCCTCTGGGTCCACTGTAATCAGCTTTCCATGCAGTGTGTCAAAGACGATGAGGTAGGTATAGCTCTCTGCTCCTCCACCTGACCAGTTCCCCTGCTTGCATTTCCTTGGTAGCCAAGGCACTAGTCGGCACCCCTCTACCCACTGGTGGTCTAGCAGAGGCCCAAGGTGAAGGGCACTGATCTCAGCTACAGGAGCTTTTTCCAGGAAGGAGGGTTTCAATGGACTGCTTCTGGACGGCTTTTCAACAGCACTTAAACAAGAACAATTCTCTCTTCACATGGCAATAACAATAACTAACATTAGAAGAACACTTTAAAGTCTGTAAAGCACTTCCCATGTATTATCTCACTGGATCCTGATAATGACCTTTGCAGCAGCAGCTTCAATGACAGGCACACTGACCGAGAAGCAACAGTCTGGTTTAGCAGCTAGAGAGCCTACCTTGAAGCTATGAAGACCTGGGTTTGAGTCTCTCCTCTGACACTGGCTGAGTGACCCTGGGCAAGTCAATTCACTTCTCAATGTTCGAGGCAACTTTGTAACACCCCAAGTTACAGAACAGATGCTAACTTCATTGGTGGAGGGAGATTCCTCATCTGGGAGTTCTCTTTACCAGTGAAAGCACAGTTCAGTCCTTATCCCTACTGACCCTACAAAGTAGGCGCCTTCATTATCCCTATTTCACATATGAGGAAATGAGATTTGAGTGACTCCCACAATCACACAGCTGATAAATGCCTGCAGCAAGATTCAAACTCGGGTCTTCCTGATTCTAAACCTCTCTATGCATCGTACCACCTCATCTTCTCCTAAGAGCTTTCTTAAACAAGATTTCATCTGAACCTCATTACATTCTTGGGTGAGCTAGGTGGCAGAGAGATGATTGTGTCTTTTTCATAGAGGAATGAATGGGGCCCCAGAGAGAGCCAGTAACTTGCCTCGAGTCAGTCAGGGAAGTAGCAGAACCAGGGCTAGAATCCCCATCTCTGGGCACCCTGGCCCTATTCTTTCTCTGTGCCTCCATGGCAGTCTGTCTCCTTTGCAGTACTACGAGAATGTCCGGATAAGTCTAGAGGGCTGCAGCATAGAGGCAGACATAGACTTCTTCATCCAGAATAAAATGACGGGAACAGAACGGCCGGGTGAGTCCAGTTTGAAGTTTTTCCAGGAGTGCTTGGGGGAGGGGGAAAGGGGAAGGGGCACACTGGGCTTGAGATGAGCCCAAAGAGAGACTTCTACACCACAGCCTCAGCCCAGGACAGACACAGAATGTTGCCCTGAGATGATTTTAAAAAGGAAAAGAGTATGAGGCAGCCCTGTATATTAAGAATACATACTCAGTAGAAATCTATCCTGCCCTACAGGAAAATAGATAAAGAAGAGGATAAGAGAAGGGGGGCAGATAGAAGGGAGGGCAGATTAGGGGAAAGGGTATTCAGAATGCACACTGTTTGGGGGTTGGGGAAGGGATGAGATGGGGAGAAAATTTGGAACTCAAAATATTGTGGAAGTAAGTGTTGAAAACTAAAAATAAATAAATGAATGAATCTTTAAAAAAAAAAGAGAGTACATACTCAGAGAAATCTAAGAAGGAAAGGAGGAAATGGTAAAGAATATTTGGGACCAAGGAAGTAAGGAAGGAAACAAACATTTTTTTAAACACCTACTCTGTGCTAAGCACTTTATAATTACTACCTCATTTGGTCCTCACAACGATCCCAGAAGGCAGGTGCTACTGTTATCTCCACTTTTCAGTACAGACAACTGAGGCAGGGGTTAAGTGACTTGCCCAGGGTCGCACAGCTAGTAAGTATCTGAGGCTGGATTAGAACTCAGGTATTTGGCCTAAGATGCTTACTAGCTGTGGGACCTTGGGCAAGTCACTTAACCTCTGTTTGTCTTAAGGAAAGGCAGGAAAGAAGGAAATGGCAAACCACTACGTTAGCTTTGCCAAGAAAACCCCACAGACAGTACTGGACTGCTATGGTCCATGGGAACATAACTGAACGACACCTTCCTAATAAAAATAATAATTAATAATAGCTAACATTTACATAACATCTACTATGTGCCAGGAATAACTATTATCTCATTTGAACATCGCAACAATCCTGGGAAGTAGGTGCTATCATTACCCTCATTTTACAGAAGGGCAAACTGAGGCAGAATGCCTTGTCCAGAGTAAGTATCTGAGGCTAGAGTTGAACTGTCTTCTTGACTCCAGGCTCCAGTGCGCCCCCTAGTGTCTCAGGTGGTAAGTCCAGAGCCAGCATCTAGAATCTGAGTATCAGAGCTTCTTGAGAACCAGCAGGGCATCATCAAGATCAGGTCCTGCCAGATTAACCTGGGTTCCATTTTGACAACAGTCAATTATTGAACTGATAGTTCAGAAGAATACTACGAATATAATTAACTAAGAGTTTTAGCAAAGTGTTTGCAGTATTCTCAAGTGGAATCAACAAGCATTTATTAAGCATCTACTATATGCCAGGCATTGGGGATACAAAGAAAGGCAAAAGCCAGTCCTTGCACTCAAGGGGCTTACAATCTAATGGGGGAGAAAGCATGCAAACAACCATATACAAACAAGCTATAGACAGGATAAATTGGAGGAAATATCAGAGGGAAAGCATTAGTATTAAGGGGGGTGAGGTAGGTGGAAAAGGCTTTGAGCATAAAGTTTAATTCTCTTGTGAAAAAGAGACACATAGGCTAAATGCTTGGACAGTTAAATGAACTTGGAACTGGTTGAATAACTGGACTCAAAGAGTAGTCTTATGGCTCAGCATCAGCTTGGAAGGTCTCCAGTGGGGGGCCTGGGGATCTGTGTTTGACCTGTGGAGTTTAACATTTTTATTAAGGACTTGTATAAAGGCAGAGATGACATGCTCACCAGATCTAGAGATGACCGCAAGCTGGAAGGCATAGCTGGTAGATTTAGGACCCCAAAAAGGCTTGACAGGCTAGAATACTGTACTTTACTGAATAAGATGAAAGTCAATAGGGCTAATTATAAAGTCACATTTGGATTCTAGAAATTGACTTTGTGAGTACAAGAAGGGGAGAGACATGATTAGACTTGAGTTTATGTGGCAAAGATGTAAGCATGTTCACAGGCTTTTTAAGCTCGATAAGAATCAAGTTTGTGATATGGGGCCAAGAAAATGAATTCAGCCCAGGCTGAATGAAAAGAGGCAAAGCCCCCAAGAATGTGCGGGGTGGTCCCCAGGTCACCCCAAGGAGTGACCGTCTTCCTGTATTCTGCCCTGGCCAGACCATATATGGAATACTGGGTTTAGTTCTAAGTATCACATTTTAGGGAAGACATTGATAAGCCAGACAGCAGAGAGCCATGGGCAGCTGTTAATGGCAACGGGGCTCCCATCCATGACTTCAAGGCTAGGGATGTTCAGCCTAGGTGAGAGAAGATTCTGGGGACATAACTGTCTTCGAGTATTCACAGAGGACAGTCTAAAGTTCTTCTGCTTGGCCGCAGAGCAAGCGGCAATGAGTGGGAAGGTATAGAGAGGTTTGGCGTCAATGTCAGAAAATGTCAGAAAAAACTTTCTGATGATTAAAACTGGCTGTAAGTGGAATGGGCCGCCTCAGGAGGCTGTGTGTGTGTGGGGGGTGTTTCCTGCTCTGGACATCTTCAAGCAGGAGCTGGTGACCATTTGTCAGTGTGTCTGCCCTTTTATAGGCCTGGTTTGGACTGGATGGCTGCTGAACTCTGACACTCTGCCGCCCTTTCTCTCCATGCCCTATTCCAGGTGGTACAGAATCAGGGCACCACCTGACTATTGGAAAATGGGGTCTTCGAGTCCAGAGGCCAGGCTTTGAGTCCTAGCCCTAACATCTGCTTGCCAGGTGACCCTGGGAAAGTCACACATAACTTCTCTGTGCCTTAGTCTCCTTATCTGTAAAATGGGGGTAAGGATCCTAGACCTGCGTTTGCTACCGTAAGAAAAATGCCACAGACATGGGAGTCATTTCCTTTGGCTCCAGAGGACCAGAGATTTAAAGCCAGAAGGGAATTTAGAGGTTGTTAAGTCTGACCCCCACATTTTATAGATGAGGGTACTGAGGCCCCAGAATATGAAGATATGCTCATGGTCACCCTGGTGGGTTCATAAGATCATAGATTCAGGGCTGGAAAGTATTTCAGAAGTCACTGACTCGAGCCCCTTCATGTTATAGATGAGGAAATTGAGACTCGGGGGTAAAAGGATTTGACCAAGGTCATGAAGTGTTTGAAGCAGGGTCTAAACCCAGGTCTTCCTGACTCCCAAGTCCAGTCTTCTATCAACAACCCCAATGCCAGGATGTCCCTACATCTCTCAGCAGGAAATGGGATTTGTGCCCAGGGAGGGACTTCCTAGAGCTCCTGTCCTAGGGGTGGTGAGAACTTTGAGATGCCCATTCCCCGCCTCCAACCCCCCTCTAACCTATGGCCTTCCCTCTGGTGGAAGGGCTGGGCCTGCCTGGGAAAGGCCCCCTCCGCTTTCCCTGGACAGTGGGAAGGTTGGTTCGCCCAATAGCAGCGGAATGAGGGGAAGCAATGGGAGGTGCCTTCATTGGCCGTGAAAACCCTTCCTCACTCGTCTCCCTTTTTTCTCTACCAAATATACAGAGGCCATTCTCTATGAGAACTACTATGATCGAAACCCCAATGGAGGATCCCACAGTCCCAGTCTTTACCCTGCGTGTGGCATGATTAAGAGGTGAGGACCTGGGGGAATCCGGAAGGCTGAGGGGTTGCATGAATCTGGCAGGGGTGGCTGGACATCTGACCCTTGGACTTGCCAAGTCCATTCTGCCCCACGTGCAGCAGGAGCTGTGGCCACAAGGGGATGCACTAGCCCAGGGGAGGCAGGTTTGGGGCAGACTGCACCCAAGGTGCCTGTAAATACATCCTCATTTTAAATTGTTATTTTATCTGTTGTTTTTACCCCCTTCAGATCACAGGACTTTTCTGTAGCTGGTATCCCTTAGAAAGATCCTTCTCTGCAGACCCTGCCCCATTGTCCAATTTAGTGTTTAGTATCCAAAAAAGTCACAACAAAGATGAGGCAACAGTATCTTTGTCCCTAGGGGACTGAATTTAGGTGGTGCCTAATTTAAAGCACTTAACAGCCCTTGAGCAGCATAGAAACAACAGAGCTCAGCAGCTAATTACCAAGAATTTTTTTTTCTTCACTTGTGATTTCACTGGAGTGAGGCAATTCCCAGTGGGAGAGTATGCCCCCCCAAAATTCCGCAACCTAATAGTCTTAGAGAGTTACCTGGAACACTGAGAAGTTCAGGCTGGACTTGAACCCCAGTCTTTCTGAGTCCAAGGCCAGCTCTCTACCCATTGTGGCGTATAGCTTTTCCTTCCCTCATCTGAGAAAGCAGAAAACTGAGGTCCAGAACAGTCAAACGAGCAAAAATAATTAGGCAAACTAGGAAACCACCAGGTGACAAGCGGGGGTGAGCTCCGGTGACTCACACCCAGGAGCCTCTATCAGGGGCTTCACACCAGTATGCCAGGGTCTTGGTCCTTTCCTTAGGGAACAGTATCCTGCATCATCTCCCCAGAGGAGGTCAGTGTACCCCGGGGTCGTAAGCCCAATAGGTAGTATTTGCCCTCGGCACAAAATTTAGGCTTCCTTCCAGGTAATGTATTTTAATGATCCAAGGGTTTCCACCCCTGGAAAGGTCCTTCTGACACCTGTACTAATCCCTTGTTCTGCTGCTAAGTTTCTGCGAAGTCTCGGCCAAGACATTTCCCCACTAGGGCCTCAAGTTCCTGGCGGCTGATGTTTGTCTAGCAGAATGCAGTAGAGTGAGTTTTTCATATCCACCCTCTCACTAGGTCCTTGTGATCTAGGGAGGGCAAGGGCTATCACCCTTATTTGACAGAGGAAGAAACTGAGGCCAGAGAGGTGAAAAGCCTTGCCCTTTGCCCCAAAGCTAGTAGCACCCCCCCAACCTACTCTTCTGACTCTAAGGCTCTCACCCCTATGTCCCACCAAGACCTTTGAAAAACACCTGAGGCTGAGTTATAGTTACCTTATTTCTGTGTGAAGCCACACCAGTACCATATTTCTCCTTAATGCAGCATCTCCTAAATGTGTTTTTTATTTCTCTGTCTGTATTTCTAACCTGCTTTCCAAATTCTGTGTTTCATGTTATGTTCGCACCTGCAAACTTCCTTGATGCCCTCTTACAGGCCTTGAGGAAAAAAAAATGCTCCAACAAACACCTAAGCCTTCCTAACCCGGGACCGACAGCAGTGCACTGATAAGGAGCCCAAGCTACCTTCAGTCGGAGAGTTTTTCATCTGGGTTTCCTGTCTGCCTTTCCCCCTGAGCCCTGTGCTCAGGCTGTCCTGATCCTGATGCCTGCTTCCTCTTAAAAAATGTTTTATTGTTGCTGTAAAAAAATGTGTCACTCCTATTACGTTACCTTTCCCCCAGTATTCTCCCTTACACCCAGGAAGTATGGTTGGCCAAGTGAAATGGGCACTCTGACCACGTCCAAACAGTGGATGCCTTCTAATGGAGGCACGTCCTCCAGAGTCGAGATCAATCATTGCATTGATTTGTGTTGTAGTGTCTTCTAGTGTTTTTTCCTCTACTTCCACTTTCAGCTTTTCATTGCCTCTCTTGTCAGAACAGATATGAGTTATTTCCTGCTGCCTACATACAGAAGCACAGGCCCCAGAGTCAAAATCAAGTAACAATTTCCCATTGCTTTAGCCCATTCAGATTTACACAATGTTTTCCTCACACCTGTCCTGTAAGACATGTGGATCGAGCATTATTAGGACCATTTTATGGAGAAGGTAACTGAGGTCCAGGGACTTGCTCAAGGTCACACAGTTTAGCAGCTGCTTGGTCATTTCCCCATCTCCTTCCCACCTTCCTGCTGCCCCCCAGCCTGGTGCTCTCATAAGTATAACCCCAACTCACATTTCTACAGTCCTTTAAGGAAAGTTTACAAAACACTTTATAGAGAATACCCAGTGAGGAAACTCCCTCTACCCGTATAAATGGGTACCTTATCTGCAACTTGTAGTCCTAGAGAGTTTCCTGGGGCCCAGAGGTTCAGTGACTTGGCCGAGGTCACACAGCCAGGACGTGTCTGAGGTGGAATTTGAACCCAGGTCTTCCTGGCTTTGAGGCCATACTGCCTCTTAAATTGGTGCTATTATTATCACTATTGCACAAATGAGGAAACTGAGGCTCAGAGTCTAGTGACTTGTCCAGGGTCACAAGGCCAGCATGTGTTAGAGGCCAAACTCAACTCCGACCTACTCTCCTAAATGTATTTCCTTTGATCTGTGAGGTGGCTGACCTGAGACCAGAGAGGCTTGACTCTGAGCTCAGCTCCCTATCTGCCGGCCTCTCGGGGCAGATGCCATTATTCCCATCTTACAGATGAGCAAACAGAGGCTAGACTTGTGAGTGCACTGATGTGAGCTGATGCAGTGCAGCACCTCGCCTTTCCTCAGGCACTGAGAAGATAAAGGGGAGGTGCCCGTGGTTGGGGAGTTGTTTGGTGTGAGGTAGGTCAGCCCTCCACCCACACCCCCCCCCATGCTTTAAAGAGTAACCATTGTTCTCTCTACTTTATGAACGGATTGCCGGGAAGGCTTATTGGAGGAGGTGGTACCCAAGAGGAGCCTTGGAGTATGGGTGGGATTTCTGAAAGTAGAGAGTGCAGGAAGGGACTGTGTTTGGGGGACGAGTGAGGAGTCCGGAAAGAGTTCCATGAAAGGCAGTGTGGTGCAGTGGGCAGACAGCTGGCCCAAAGCCACGAAGACCTGGGTTTCAGTTTCTGCCTTTGACACATACTGCCTGTGTGGCCCTGAGCAAGTCAAACCCAGATAGAAGTGGATCCTGCGCCTCTGCCTCCACTTAGAAAACCACACATCATCCTCATCTCTGCTGTGTTACATTTTTATTTATTTTGTTAAACATTTTCCAATTCTGCCCCTGTGAGTCTGACAGCTCTGACTAGGGACTCTCTTGAGATGGCAGCTTCACTGAAGGTACCAACCTGCACCCGTAGAGGGATTTCCTCACTTGGGAATTCCCTATGCCAGAGAAATCACAGGTCCCTATAGAGTGACATGCAGGGGAGTCATGGGACAAAAAGCAAGTTGGTGGCAAAGAGCCTTGAATGCCAGAGTAAGGAATTTGCCATATCCCCTCACATCACTAACCCATCCACCAAACTGTGGAATGACTTTAAATATCTGTACACACACATACATGCATGCACACGTACACACAATGCACATATACACACATACCACACACTGTGGAATGACTAAATATCTGTACACACACACACACACACACACACACACATACACACACACACTCTCTCTCTCTCTCTCTCTCTCTCTCTCTCTCTCTCTCTCTCTCTCTGTTATGTAATTCCCACCTGCGGCTCAGGTCCCAGGTTACCTCTGCTGAAATCTCTAGAAAAAGCTTCCTTGATCTAGAAAAAGCTCCCCTTGATTTCAGGTGAAAAGCTGAAAGGAAGGAGGGAGGTGATGTGGACTCTCTCTGACCAGAAGGAAGATTAGGAAGGAAAACCAGCAGCAGCAGCCCCTCCCCACACACTGGGGCAAAGTGGGTTTTCTAAGGGATTTCTGGCTCCTGGCAGTCACTATCACAGAAAATGAGTGCTGGGGACGCGCGCGCGTGTGTGTGTGTGTGTGTGTGTGGTGTGTGTGTGTGTTGTGTGTGTGTGTGTGTGTGTGTGTGTGTGTGTGTGTATCTTGGTCTGTGTGCCTTTTGTTATGTAATGGCGTAGCAGATAGAGTGCTAGGCCTGGAGTCAGGAAGACTCATCTTCCTGAGTTCAAATCTGGCCTCAGGCACTTACTAGCTGTGTGACCCTGGGTGAGTCACTTAGCCCTGTTTGCCTCAGTTTCCTCATCTGTAAAATGAGCTGCATAAGGTGTCAAACCACTTCAGTATCTCTGCCAAGAAAGCCCTAAATGGTGTCACAGAGCTGGGCAGGACAGAAATGACTGAACATGTCCACTGTGTCCTTTGCCAAACTCCTGCTCATGTCAGGAGGGCCTTCAAGGCCACTTGCCTGGAGTCAAGACTGTGAGAAGCCTCAGAGAATAGATTTGGTCTCTCTTGCTGCCCCTCCCCCATGGACTAGCCATCCCCTTCCCCTCCCCCCCACTCCTAGGGGTTTTCTGGTGGAAAGAGCCTCCACTGTAGCCAAAAGAGCTGGGATCCCCATCAAATCCCTGACCAGCTGTGCAGCCTTGGACAAATTCCTCCCCCTCTCTAAGCCTCCTTCTCCTCCCAGAGGAGAATAACAGCCTTTGCGGCACTTGTAAACTCGGCAATGCTGGAGGAGCTGACGCTCTCGATAAAAGTCTACAAACCAGAAAAGAAAGGAAAGCGGCTGAGGAGAAGGCTCTTTTTACAGAGCCGTGGGGCCAGGGATCATGCAGTGTGGTCGGACTCACAGCCTGAGTCTGACAAGCATGACTAAGTCCCCATTCTGATGTGCCAGAGGCAGAGCATTCAGAAAGGAACCTGTTCCTGCCCTCAGGGAGCTTACATTCTAATGGCTAAAGGCTTCCAGATCCAAAGTCACAGGGCCCTCTGGGCTTAGACTCTCCTTTAGGCCTCCCCTTCCTAGGGCCTGTCCACCTGGAGTGTCTCCCTGCCCTGGCTGGCCTGGGCTGCATCTGAGGACCCGCCTGGGCAGGTGGGGCCAAGTGGGCCGAAGCTCCCTACTAAAGGGTAGGCCTCCAGGTGAGGGGCTTGGGGCCCCCCAACTCACTAAGAGGCCAACCAAGGCATGAGCCCACCTAGGAAATCACAGCTTGAGGGCCCTCGTGTTACCCAGGAGACCACTGAGTCTGAGGGTGGTAAAAGCAGCCTGTCTAACATCCCACAAGGTGACAAGTGAGATGTGAACCCAGGGCCGCTGACTCATTTTTCCATTTCTCACACTGACTCCTACTGACCTTTTGAAGTTAAGTTGGGGGACGTTTCAGGTGGACAAAAGCAGCCCAGGCAAAGGGACAAGGCCCTTCCCTGTGGGGGGTCCAGGTCACCTTAACCCAGGGCTCTTGGGACAGGGAGGGGCTCTGCCCCCACGTTCCCCTAGCCTCCCCCACAGAGTCCCTCTCCCCGGAGTCAGCATGAGACCAAGGCTGTGCCCAGGGAAACTCCCAGTATAGACAAAGCTTTCTCGCATTATCAGTTTAGCCCTGACCTCAGCCCAAGGCTTACCCACAACCAGGGCAAGGAGGCCACCAGCCCTGGCCGGGCAAGGGTGTGACTTTGGACAAGTCACTAAGACTCCCAAAGCCTCCACCTGCTCATCTATGAAACGGCATCACAGGCCATGAGCTAGAAAGGGAAGGGAGCTTTGAGGTCTGCCAGTCCAGGTGGGAGGGGGAGTGATCTGTCCAAGGTCACTTGGCAAGTGACCCAGGAGAGTCTGTATTTGAACTTGGCTCCTGTGGCTCTAGGAACAGAACAGCAGCCCCTCTGCAGTGATATTCATAGTTAGCAGTCCCTCCCCACACTTCCCCTAGGACTGTGCTCTGTAAATCAGTGGAAGCTGCTCTGATTATTTCCTAGGGCATAGGGCCACTCACCTCCCCCCACAGAAGTGCTGCTGGTCTGGGGGACGGGGAAGTACATCGCCTCTCTTTATCCTGCCCATCCCCCAGGGTCAGTGGGGACTCAACCTGGGCCACAGTTCTCCTCTCACCCCGCCCCATGCCTATCCTTCTCTAGAGATTCCCCCGTGTGCCTACATGGCTTCCCACTCTGCAGGTCCCTCCTAGACTCACAGGCTTCCAGATTTGGAAGGAGCCTTAGAAATCATCAATCCAATCTTTCCCAAACCAGGAGCCCTACAAACGGCCATCTCTACTTGGAGACTTCCTGTGATGGGAGGCTCAGTACCTCCTAATAATAATGATAGCTGGCACCTCCTGTGTGCCAGGCATTGCATGGAGCACTTCACAAATACTATCTCCTTTGATCCTCGTATCAACCCTGCGAGGCAGGTGCTATTATTACCCCCATTTTACAGGTGAGGAAACTGAGGCAGACAGGTTAAGGGACTTACCCAGGATCGAACAGCTCCTAAGTGTCTGAGGCTGCATTTGAACTCGGATCTTCCTGACCCCAGGTTCAGTGTTTTATCCAATGCTTTCTCTAATAATCCATTCCACTTTTTAACAACATGAATGCAAACCTTCCAGCAGAGGGAATTCTGAGCCTGAGTCACCTGGACGAAACTGTAACAGAACCTAGTTTTCCCTCCTGAAGACAGGTGGGATGGAGGATGGAGGATGGGGGTGGGGAAGAGGAGAGCATGAGGACCAGACCTAACAATGAAAGGCGGCTTCGAGGGATGAGAGGGAAGAGGAAAGGCCCCAAAGACTTACCAGGCCAACCTCTCACGGTACCAGAAATCTCACTCCTATAACTTTAGTCTTTTGGGCTTTTGAGTTCCCCCAAATAAAGCACAAATACTCCCTGTGTGATGGGGTTCACCTACGATTCATCAGTTAAGACTGTAGCAGGAGTCAGAACCCACAGCACTGAGGACAGGATGTGGGTGGCCAGGTGACAGTTTGAATGGAAAAGATCCAGGGGTCTTAGTGGACTGCACGCTCAATGAGAATCGACAGAAGAAGGCAGCCCAGAACCCTAATCTGACCCCAGGACTCTGCCTTAAGAGAGCCAGAAGAGGTGATAATCCTCCCCGCCCCAGTCAGGCCACAGCTGGAGTGCTGCCTTCAGTTCTGGCAGATGTTTTAGGGAGGGCTCTGAGATGCTCAAATGCACCCAGAGAAGAAAAACCACCTGGGAGGAGAGCAGGAGTGCAGACCCTGCAGTGATCAGTATGTGAAAGCCCTGGGGACGTTTGGCTCGGAGAGGGGAGTGGTGATAACCACCTTAAAGTATTTGAAGGGCCGGCCCAGGAAAGAACTGAGACTTCTTGACACCAGAGGAAAGAACCCGGAATAAGGACAGGAGGTTAGAGGGGGCAAGTTTTTTTCCTTGGAAAAGGAAAAACTTCCTGAGTTGTCTACAAGGAACGGACTGTCCTGGTAGATATCGAGCTTCTCATCAATGGAAGGATTACATGTAGACTGGCTGAGCCCCTGTCTGGGATGTAGGAGAAAGGACTCTTGCTCAGGCTGAACTGGATGACCTTTGTGGTCACTTCCAGCTCGAGGAGCCGGTGATATGGTGAGGGCTGGCTGATGCTCAGGACTTGGGAAATGGGACAATGGGTGAGCTCTTAAGGGAAGGACCAAGGCTGTTTGAGGCTGAGGAAAAGCACTGAGGGGGAGGTAGGAGGGTCTGGGACAAACTTTAGGGACGTCACGGTTTTGTAGGACTTACAAGTGTTCTGCTGTCCACCGTCGTGGGTCACATCTGGACAGATGGTGGGAAGAGGGGCCGCAGGAGAAATCTGCCCCTAGGGGCTGGGGAGGGTGGGGAGCCGAGAGAGAAGAATCTGAGAATGTTCCCGCCCTCCAGATGTCCTCCAGGCTTTCACAGAAGGAGTGTGTCCCAGCTCGAAGAAACCCCAGAGATCGTGCTAGTCTAGGGGTGAGCAGAGACAGCCCTCGGGCCAAATCTGGCCAAGAATGGTTTTGCATGTTCAAATAAAATGAACATTAAGTAAAGCTTTAGTGTAAAGAAATAACATAAGTAAATGAAGCTTTATTTTAAAATTTTTAAAAAACCGTTCTTAGATCTGTAGCTGGACAAAACCAGGTGCTGGCCTGCTGGTCACTGCCTACTGACTCCCTGGCTTCCTGTGAATCCCACCTTCTCCGGGAAGCCTTCCCAACCCCTCTTAATTCTACTGCCTTCCGACTGTTACTTATTTCCTATTTACCCTGCTTATATATTGCTTTGTATGTGTGTGTGTGTGTATTTGTTTACATGTTGTCTTTTCTATTAGATTGTAAGGTCCTTGAGGGCAGGGAATGCCTTTTGCCTCTGTATTGTATCCCTAGCTCTCAGCACAGAGCCCCGCACACAGTAGGTGCTTAATAAATGCTTTTTGATGGATGGATTGGAAGTTTGCCAACGCCCTGACCCAACCTTCACATTTTACTGAGATGGAAAACCAAGGCCCAGAGGGACATGGTAATTTGTCCAATATCACAGAGCGGTAGATCTGAGACTTGAACCCAAGTCTTCTGGCCATAAAACGTCCCAGAGAACATCTGTAGCCCTGTTTTTTTACCCTTGCCCAGGGTAATACTCGTAAGACTCAGAGACAGAAGAGAATAACTGGAATCCCAGTTCTGGCGCTTTTTAGCCGTGTTCCCCTCTCTGACCCGCAGCGTTCTCCATCCGTAAAATGGGCATCTTGTTGGAAAGAAAGCCAGGGTGAAGCTTTAGGCCTTACATGAATGTGGGTGGCTCATCCCTGGGGTCTTGAGAGAGAATTTTCCCAGCCTTCTTTCCTTCTCACTCCACAGGTTCTCAGGGTTGTTACACGGGAGCCCCAAAAACATCACCGAGAATGTCGTCCCCTCCGCCCCTCCTGCAGGTAACTGTACCTTCCTTTCTGGATAAAAGCTCAGAGCTTGAGGGGGGCAGGAAGGGTGTGAGCGGGCCCCTGCTCCTTGTGGCAGGGCTCCCAAGAGGGGCTGATACGAGCAACCATGGAGTGGAGTTATGGAAGGAGGGACAAGGAACTCCCACTGAATCAGCCACAGAACATCGGAGCTGGAGGGGACTCCAGGCATCACCCTGAACAACAACTTTCCTTGACAGTGAAGGCGACTGAGGCCCAGAGACAAGGGAAATGACTCCAAAAGTCACACAGCATATTAATGGTAGAACCAGCCCTGGAACCTGGGTCTCCTCTCTCTGGGCCTTTCCCAAATGCTGTTTGAAGCTGGCTTACTGGCCCCATTGGCATCCAAAGATGCTGAGATTCTGGGCCTGGGTGGTGCCACCGAGAACAGCTGAGGATATTTTTCTGTGTTTAATTTAGGAAAGTGAGTGGGAGGGAACCAGAGAAGGCACCCACAGCAGCTGAGGCTCTTCCCCTAAGAGTCTGGCAGCCCAGACCGGGTAGTGATTGTTGATCCCAGGTGTGGCCCCAGTGAGAAGGGCGGAAGACCAGAGAGAGAGAAAGGGGGGGGGGGAGAGAGGGGGAGGGGGGAAGAGAAAGAAGAAGAAGGAGGAGGAGAAGGAGAGAAGAAAGAAGAGGAGGAGGAGGAGACAGGGGCAGAGAGAGAAGAGAGAGAGAGAGAGAGAGAGAGAGAGAGAGAGAGAGAGAGAGAGAAGAAATATCCAAATGGCAATGGGGGGGGCGCCCTAATCCATCATAGTTGAGCACACTAAGCAAGCATAGTGAACAGAGAGCCAGCCTCAGGCAAAGAAGTCGTGCCTGTAACGCTTGGGGCTGTGTGATTCTGTGCAAGATAATTAACTGGTCTGGACTCCAGGCAACTCAAAAAAAAAAAAAAAGGAATAAATTGCAATAAAGGACATTTCCTCCCTGGGATGAGGCTCCGGGCATCGGTGGCCTCACTGGGTGGATGTGAGGAGTGAAAGTACTTCACAGTTGGCCAATATGCCAGAGGGCCTGAGGCTTCAGGGAGCGGTGGGAATTAGACAAGGCCTGAGGTCCCTTCTGGCTCAGATTTTAACAAACTCCTGCCCTCGAGGAGTTTACAATTTAGATTGGGGGGAGGGGCATTTGGGGGTCCTTTTCAGGAGGCTCCTGGGGTCCAGTGGCTTTGTGCTCTCAGGGGGGGCCAAAAGTGCCAGGGAAACTCACAGCACTTTTCTTGGTCAGGCCTCATCTCTGCCCCTCTGCAGAAGAACGACATTGTCTACGCAGACATTGTGCAAACTAACTTAGCCCCAGAAACCTTGGCCCAGGACTACAGGGTGCTCTATGACTACACAGCCCAGGTGAGCATGAGGAGAGGGCCTCAGTTTCCTCATCTGTAAAATGAGGATGATGACAGCACCGACTTCCCAGGGTTGTGGTGAGGGTCAGACAAGACAAAACTTGTAAAGCGCTTAGCACATGCCTGGCACATCATAGGTGCTTAATAAGTGTGCGTTTCTGTCCTTCCCTCTTAATGCCCTAATATAAATTAGCTTGCCAGAGCATCATGATGAAGAGGAAATGGCTGTGTGGGATGGAGAGGAGAAGACTGGGGGGAAAGAGAAGGATGTGATACTGTCTTCAAGTCGTTGGAAGCCTGTGGGAGCTTGGCCTGCCCTGGGCAGAACTGGACATAACATATGGAGGGTGGAAGATTGGGTGAAGGGAGGGAGTACAAGTTACAGGGAATCTAATTTCAGCTCAGTATAAGCACTAAAAACTAGAGCTGTTCAAAAGTGGAATGAATTGGTTCATGAGGTAGTGAGCTCCCTGTTGTATGAAATGCTTAAGAAGAGGCTATATGTTCCTCAGTGAGGGTGGGAGGCTGGCTCTTCCGAGGTCTCTGCTGACTTAAAACTCCCATGATTCTATTTCAGAATGCTGATGAGCTGGACATCACTGCTGGAGACATCCTGGCCGTCATCCTGGAGGGGGAGGATGGCTGGTGGACTGTTGAGAGGAATGGGCAGAGGGGCTTTGTGCCAGGCTCCTACCTGGAGAAGCTCTGAAGGAGCCTTGACCCCCCCCCCGCCCCCGCCCCCCTCTGGATCACGCTCATTGCCCTGGAAGAGATGCCTCCAACCCCACCTGACTTCACTTCTGGGGCAGCTCACATCGCTGGGCTGAGCCTTTTCCACTGCCTCTAAGGGGCCATGCCTAGGGAGGTGGGAAAGCAGCCATGTGTGACAGGGACAGCATCGATCAGGAGTCAGAGAGACGGGGGCTAGTCCCAGTTCTGTCCTTAATTCAATATGTGCAAGCCTCTCAGACTGTTTTCCCATAACGGGATTAAACAGTTAGATTAGATCATTTTTAAGTTCCCTCCCGGCTCTGACATTCCTATTCTAAAGTCCCTTCCATCTTTAGCATTCTCTGTTCTAATGACTCTCCCAGCGCTGACATTCTCTGTTCTAATGACTCTCCCAGCTCTGACATTCTCTGTTCTAATGACTCTCCCAGCGCTGACATTCTCTGTTCTAATGACTCTCCCAGCTCTGACATTCTCTGTTCTAATGACTCTCCCAGCGCTGACATTCTGTGTTCTAAGGTCTCTCTCAGATCTGACATTTACTTCACACACACACATGCACGCATGCACGCGCACGCGTGACAGTTAAGAGCCAAAGGATGCGGTCCTTCCTGCAGGAGCTCAGAGGAGAGAGAACAGGAGGAGACAGAGACTTCCTGGAGGAGGTGGGATATTGGCTGGCCCTGGAAGAATGGCAATATCCGACAGGGAAAAAAACTGGGTGGATGTTCCAGGTTAGCAGGAGGAAATGAACCAGGAATGGTATAGAGAGTGGGAACAGGGGTCTGGGGGTGGGGCAGAGGGACAGGGAGAGAAGTAGCCAGACTAAACTGGAGACTATGGGGGGCAAAGTGATGTACGAGGAGGCTGGGTTGGAAAGACAGAGAGGGGGAGGGAGAGACAGACAGAAACAGAGAGAGAGAGAGAGAGAGAGAGGGAGAGGGAGGGGGGGAGAGAGAGAGAGAGAGAGAGAGAGAGAGAGAGAGAGAGAGAGAGAGAGAGAGAGAGAGAGAGAGAGAGAGAGAGAGAGAGAGAGAGAGAGAGAGGAGGAGAAAGGAAGACAGACAGACACGGTCAGACCTACAGCATGGACTTGGCTGGGTGCCCCCCACCCCTTGAAGAGATTCGTTAGGCTCAAAAGTGTTAGAGCCCCAGTAAGGCCAAGTCCCACCTGCATTACTTCTGGTGTGATTTTAGGCAAGTCACCTCCCCTCCAAGGAACTCAGTTTCTTCTCCTGTAATAACACCTGTGACCCGCCTCACAGGATAACTGTGAGGCTTAAATGAGACAGCGCCTGCTAACACGCTTTGCAAACTTTAAATCGCTTTCTCAAAAGTGCTGTTTTTGTTGTTACTATTAGCACTCACCACACTTTACAGATCCGGCTCATGTCAGAGATGGGATTTAAAGCCAGATCTTTCCCTTCTCCCCTCCACCCCCAGCCTAGGGTCTCACAGGTCTCATCAGCAGCAAATGTTTCCCTACATCCGACCTCCGTGTCTCCTGTTAAAAGATTATAAATACAAACTGGAAAATCCAGACACTTCCTGCTTTTCAGAAGCTCAATATCTATAAAATAAAGATGAAAAGAGGTGGGGATGGGGGAGAAGGTAGCCGTGGGGCACAGTGGAGAAAGTCCAGAGATGCCTAGAGTGGAAAGACAGATTTTAGCTCAAAAACAGAAAAACCTTCCAACAATTGGAGTCATCAACAAGCATTTATTGAAATACCTACTGTGCTAAGCACAGTGGATATAGAGGCAGGCAAAAAAACACGGTTCTTGCCCTCAAGGAGCTCACATTCTAATGGAAGGAGGTGGTACACAGACAACATGTAAATCCTAGGTATATCCAAGAGACAGACAGACAGGTAGATAGATAGACAGACAAACATAAACACACACACACACACACACACATATGTATGTACACACACAGGGTAAGTGGAAGGTAATCTCAGAAGGAATTTAGGGGTGGAGGTGCAAGAAAGGAGTGGTCAGAAAGTGGAATGGGCTGCTCCAGAGGTCAAGCAGAGACTGGACAACCACTTGTCCATGATGCTGTAGAGGCGATTCCTGCTTGGGTGTTTCCTGGAGAAGGAGGGCTGTGCCACCATCTTCCACCCCCAGTTCCAGCCTGCCAGGGTGCTTAGAGCACAGGATATGGACTCAGGAAGACCTGGGTTAAAATTCTTCCTCTGACACATATTAGTATGATCCTGAGCAAGTCACTTTACTTGTCTGATCTGCAGCTCCCTCATCTGCACAATGGGGATCATTACAGGACCTACTTCCCAGACTTGTCGTGGGCCCAGAATGAGTTAATCTTTTGTAATGTGTTTTGGAAACCTTCAAAGCTTGTACAGATGTCAGCTGTTACTGCCAGTCTCCCAGGGGACAAAGGAATAGATCCAGGCTGGCTGCTGAGGGGCTCAGCATTCAGTCAGTCACTTCCCTACCCTAGCCTCACGCCAGGACCAGATGCAGAAGTCTCTGAGATGCCACCAGTCTCCCTGTTCTGTACAAGTCCTATAGGTCCACATTCCTCGACAACCCCACTAGTGGGAAGGTGAACCATGGCTCAGTTTGCATCATACTGCTTGTGGTCTAAATAAAGAGTATGGTCTTCATTAGGTTTTTTGCATAATTGGAGAAATCACACAACACCCAGACCCAAATCTCCGAGCTGTTCTTCTCTACTAAAGTAAAAAAATAACTAGACTGACTCAGCTGGCATGACAGACATTGTGTTCCCTTTTTTCTTCTAACTTCTCGCCAAAATTAAATGCCTTAAAGATGATGTGATTTCATCAGTGTGGGCCTCCCACTAGATCTGGAGTCAGAGCAACTGCGTCCAAACCCTGACTACTTCTGTAACCCTGGGTGAGCCAAATCCCCCCTCCAGGCTCTTATCTCCAAGACAAGGGGTTAGAGGAGCCCAAGGCTTCTTACGCTTTTCCCCACGCTCCTGACCCCTTTTCTGCATTTAGGGTTAGGCCTGAGGGCATGCACGGCACAAGGTGCGCAGGCTTTGTGTTCAGAACCAAGGCTGCAGTAAAGCTGCATCATTCAACACAGACAGCGCTGCCAGAAACACCTTGGACTCACTACACATTTGGTTTTTAATTAATTTTTGGTCCCTGAGTATTCAGAAACCTCTCACCGTTTTACCCGGTTTAAGAAGTGCTAGACTACATGGTCTCTAAGGCCTCTCTCAGCTCAAAATCCATGATTCTGTAAATGAATCCCATCATCCTCTGCCCTGGTTGGAAGTCATTTGGAGCAGCTTGCTCCCTTCTGGGCATCAGTTTTATGAATAATACTGAAAAGCAGAGGAGGGAGATGAGGCTGAGGAGGGGATTGTGCCTTAGCCTGAAAAGTTGCAGAATTGGTTCAGCTTCCTCTGAGCAGCCCATGCTGGCTCCTGCCCCACTGCCTGGGAGCAGTTACCCAGAGAGACCCAGGACAGGGTTTCTGAGGTGCCCCATCCTACCCCGCCAGACTCACCTGAAGTTAGAACTGGCCAGAGTAATGCAAGGGTTTATGGGTGGGTGTAGGTTTGTGTGTGTGTCCCTACAGACCCATCTCCGAGCCCCTCTAGCTCCCTTCTCCTCCCTGACTGGCTCATTGCCCAGGGGACCACGGCACAGCAGGAAGCCCCAGAGCTCTGTCTGAGGGTGTGCCATACTGATGCGTCTTTATCTCTTGCTATTAACTCAGTCCAATTACATGTTCATTTTGACAGTGCGTGTATCTGCACATATATGGTGAATGTAGGCGTGTAAATGTCTTTGTTACTAAACTTGTTGTATGACCTTGGGCATGTCACTTTATTGCTATGGGCCTCAGTTTCCTCCTCTGGACAGCAGAGAAAGAGGAAGGAACTTGTGTCTGAGATGACAACTTCAGCTCTTCCTACCTTCATCACAGGCTCTCCCCTCCCACTAAAATTTATTCTACATAAATTCTACAAGCATTTATTAAGTCTATGCTAATAATATGCATTTCTATTGTTTTTTCCAAAGGGCTTTGTGAAGTAGACAGTGAAGGGACAATTATGTCCATTTTACAGGAGAGAAAACCGAGGCCCAAAGGGTTAAAGTGATACAGCTAAGAAGTGGCTGAGCAAGCCCAGACTGAGTCCAGGAGGAGCCTCACTTTTCCACTCCTCTCCCTCCCCAAGCTGACACTTCTCCCAATTTCTGGTCCCTTCTTAAATGTGGGGCTGGGTCCCAGAGGGTGAGCCTGCCTTCAGTCCCTCCATGGAAACTGCAGACAAGGAGCTGCTAAAGAATCGAAATTGAAGGTAACCCAAAGGGGAGAAGAGCCACTTATGGTGGTTGACAACAGGCCGCCATGTTTTCACCAATAATGCTTGTTAGAAGCATACTCAAGGAGACTCACAATGGGAACAAAGAGGTGGGAAGACCATGTGGAGACGGAGGGAAGAGGGTGGGTGACCCCCGGAGGGCATGAGTGCCACTCTGCCACCTGCAGAGATGGACAGAGGCCTGGAGGAAAAGGATGAAAACTGCAGAGAAGCAGGTGTATGGGGGCTGCTATCTGACGTGTGAAGGACCCCAAATCAGGGAGGCCAGGGGCCACAGAAATATCACAGCACAACGGTGACGTTTGAAAAGATGTACTCCAGGGGCGGAGCCAAGATGGCGGAGTGAAAGCAGTGACTTGCTTGAGCTGTCCCCCAAACCCCTCCAAATACCTATGAAAAATGGCTCTAAACAAATTCTAAAGCAGCAGAACCCACAAAAAGACAGAGTGAAGCAAATTTTCAGCCGAAGACAGCCTGGATGGTTGATCGAAAAGGTATATCGTGCCGGGCTGGTAGAAGAGCACAGCGTGGCGTGGGCGCGCAGGCCGCAGCGAACCTGGAGCAGGCCTCAGAGGACTGAATCACAGGTAGCTGTGGTGGTTTCCAGACTTCTCAACCCAGGAACGCCAAAGACAACTTAGAAGGTCAGTGGGAAAAGTCTGTTTCTGCGCTGAGAGCAGAGCTAGGTCTCAAGAGCCAGTTCCAGAGCACAGAGCTCAGGGCCTGGGCACCGGGGCGGTGGCTGCGACCTGAGCTTCTGGCCCACAAACTGAGGGGGAATCAAGTGGCTGATCAGAGGGGGAATGCAGGGATCTCTTTGCCAGTGCTGAGGCAGGAATCTCATGCTTTGTGTGTGCTTGGATCTGGGTCACAGTTTTGGACGGGAGTCCTGGGGTGAGAAGGAGAGCTGGTATGGTGGAACTTGTAGTGGCAGTGGAGAGAAAACCTTCTTCA